ATGCATATAGGTGAAAACACAAACTGAAATCCAGACCAATTGATCATCCTAGATAATGAGCTGCATTGTCCTTCCTTTTTCTGGTAAAGATCTTAGTGAATGAGTCAATACGGTGTTGATTTTTATGACAATAACCAATCATTTCCAATCATTTCAATGATTAAAAGAAAACCTGGGGAAATTTAAAGTAAATCTCAGTTTTTAATCTGAGGAACTCTAGGCATTAGAAATTATGCACTTCCCATTATGTGTATGTGTATGTGGGAGGCAGTGTGTATACTTATGCTTATAATATATTCATATATATACATCTATACATACACATATATATTATATACAAATTCTGAATCACTTCAAAGAAATGTTTATATTAAGCATGTCTTTTTCTATTTGTTGAAATATTCAAATAAGTATTTAGCACTTACTTATAACATTAATATAAGTAAAGTTTTCAAGATTCATATTTCCCCAAAGGTTGTGATGTTCAAAAAAACATTTATTTTATTTTCTCCTCTTTCCAGACTTCAAACTAGTTGCTTCAGTCTCTGTTTTTGGTCACACTCTGCAGAATGCTTCAAAATATTACAAAGTTGTCCATGAGGTAGTCTTTTCCCAACTTCTCTGCCATGTTAATCGTTTTGACATAAGGAGACAAAATCCACAAGATATGGAGAAAAGATTTCATTGGCTGGATTGTATAGGACCTTTTTATATCTTTACATGAAAATAATGGGGATTTAACACCATTCTGAGTCTTGGACTGCTTAAATTCAATCCATGTGATAAGGTGTTGGAAAAGTTGGTGTTGCCTCATCCTCTTTAGCTTATAATCACATTGGTGGATTTTCCTTTAACTGCTGGCATTTTAATGAGAGCCAGGCCTCCCTTAGAAATGTATACTTCACCTTCTCTACAAGGTAAATGTCTCTTGTTGGCCAGTTAGTTGATCTATGATAGAGATAAGAATACCCCTGAAAGCGAGGTTATTTCAGTAGCCAGTATACATTTTAGCAATTTTTTTTTTTGGATGGTGATTTCATGAATGGTGTTTTGACTTTTCTTTCTCTGTGGCCCACAGCTCACTGTGGTGGGTTTGTTGGATTTACTCTAAAGGTTCTGTTTGCACCCTGTGGGTTGGGTTAAGAATCAGGGTTTATGCATTTACTTGTACTGTGGCATTGTTTATACAGCTTTGGTTTAGTTTTGATCTTTTTTTTTTTTTTTTTTGCCTTTGAGGCTCTTCCACAGTGTCAGCTGCTGACTGATAGTAGGAAAACGGCCTCGTGGTGTGAATGAAAGGGACCTAGCGGTTGGTAAACAGAGATAAGGAATAAATAGAGCACAGGCAAAAGGAGATAGTTCTGTGGGGGCCCAGATTGCTGCCAGTCTGTTCAAGGGAGATGCAGAGCCTGTCCTTTTCCCAGATTAAATTAGTGTGCGAAATCTCCAGTGACCTCCTCCCCTTCTCCCCACACTCTTTAGCCAAGCTGAACAGCCTCTGCTGTAAAGTATTCATTTTATCCAGGGACAAGCTGGACAATAGAACTCTCCCTGATACTTATGGACAGCTGTCGTCATTCATAGTGCTCTCAGCATTTCATTTTTCATAGGAGTTAAAAGGGTTTTTACCTTGTAACTGAAAGAGGGCATAAATGCAACTTTGCCAGGTCTGAGGCTGCTTGGGTAGGGGGTAGGACTTGCCGGGGGAAGGGGGGTGAGGAAGGAGAAACTGCTCAAGAAGCAATTCTTTTCTGTTGTGCTAATATGATTAAAGTAAAACAGAAATTAAACTTCAAATCCGGTCTCCTTGCTAAGAGAAAATATCTTTGATCTGAAAGTTTCCTAAAATTAAGGTCAGCAGTGCAAACCAGACAATTCATCTCCACCTGCTTTACCCTTGTTTGAGCTAAATATGCATGCATTTTATTACCTGCGAATAACCACCAGAAAATATTAAGCCTGTAAGATACCTTTGTATTCTCATATATTTTTTTATTTTTTTAGTGATTTACTGCAAATATATTCAGCATTTGACTGATTAAATAGACCTTCGGCAACCTTGAGGGTCACTGTGTGGAGTATGTACATAGAAAATGCATCAGCCCATTGTACCCTGGCAGCTAATGAGATTGGTCGTTAAGTAAATGACACAAAGCCTACAAAAAAAGCTTAGCAGCTCACTAGAGTATCACAGAGTGTCCCTGCACACCACACAACGACACAAACACTGGACTAACGTAGCCCACCCCTGCTTTATTCTACATCACTGCTTCCCTGATGTCAGCGTGAGAGGCAGAACAAAGGCTAGGAGGCACCGGTAAGTCAGTCTGGCAATTAAGCCCTAGGGAGAAAGTAGAACAGATCTTAGCCTAACCGTGGGGCTGAAAGTCCGTTTCTCGACAAGTAGGTCAGAATGAAGGGATTTTGCTATCACTTGTGGAAATGCCGCTTCAGTGATCAGTGTTCTTATTTTGTTGTTATTGTTGTTTTGTTTTGCCGTTTCACAAAAGTTTGTAAATTTAAAAAGTAAAGTGAACCCATAACGCAGGTGAACTTGAATTCGAGAGGCAGGCTGTTTGTTGGAGAAATGGTACTTTCGCCAATAACTACCATTCAGATTGCTGGTTCAGGTTTGAAAACTTTCAAATGTATGAAGCAACTTTAAATTTAGTCTTACTGCTTCTGAAAGATAATGGAAACCTGGGGCATAAACTGTGTGCAGTGAAGTTCATTCGTGACCATATAAAACTGCCCTAGCCCCTAATATATATTTAATACCGTGGATGGAATAACTATTTCCTTGATCAGTGTCTTAAAAACCAACCAATCAAACACAACAAAACAGAAAAACAAAAGCTCCTCTTTTCCTCGTGTATTTAACTTCTCTTGAATCTGGAAATAGAATCATTACTGTGAATCTGTAATATTGAATAGGATTAGTGGTTATTTGCTTGCTGTACTTGGGAAAAAAATCAAAGCTTCTGACACTGGAGCAGCATTGGCTTGCTGTGTCCCTTGGAAAAATGCGTTTGCAGGATTGAAGTGTAACATTGCAGGATCCTTTTAGAGAAATATGGCAACAGGAAGTTGCCAGAAAGTCTTTTTTGCCTTGCTGAAATGTCTGTCTGCTTTAGATTTGTGTATTCAGAGGATGTTTAGTTCAAGAGAGGATGATATTGTTACAAGACATTCAGGTAAATTAAATATTTTATTCTAAAAACTGTCCGCTAAGTGGGTTGTCAGTGGTTTAATAAACTCTGACGGTCTCATCAAAAACATTTAAAAAGTATTGTTAACAGAAGTGTGGTGTTTTAAAATAGATGTGTTCATAATATCAGTATCAGTATTCAATTTTAAAGCCACTGTCATTTAATTTGAGAATGGCATGTCATAATCATCTGTTCATGAATTAAAACTGTATAGAAATCAGTTTGCTAACTTTCATTACTTACACTGAAAAATATTTATTTATATAAGTATATAGCAGCATTGTCATACTGAACAAATAGCTTATTAATAGCATTCATGAAAGATCCATAATATTGGTAATATGGTCTGGGTGATCAGAGGTCACATAATTCTTTACCATTTTTTCCATGAAGGACTTTTCCTCTATTAAATATGTTCCTAATGTACATTTTGTTTATATAATTTGTTTAGAACTATATGTGTGTCTGTAGAGAATGTAATATATGTTGTATATTACCAATTCTAAGTATTGTTTTAACAAAAGCCAGAAATTAGGAGGCAATAAATTTTGTGAAGAAAGTGATATAATAGTGTCTTTTTAATTTCAAGTAAAATATATGTGGGGAAGATAGATTTTGATTTTACTAAACTGAGATTTTTCTGATATGTCATCACATCATTATGCCTTTCATGTGATAGAAATCGTGGAAAAAGCAACCCATCTAAAAATGGCTACAGTTGCTACCTACCAGTTTTAGTTTAAGGCAGAGTTGTGTAACTACTTTACTCTTCCAGGCATTATAAATGCATTAGGCTATCCTTCTGTGATGAATGTTTTATTTTGAATCTCATGTATTACAATGTATTTTCCTATAGTTGTTAATGTTCCTACTGTTAATACAAGAATTGAGTGTTTCAGAAAACACATAATTGTTTTGTCTGGCTATAAATATTTTACCTCCATCCTTACCGTACAGCAAAGGGTATACAAACTTGACTGAAGTTTGTTTAGTTGCATCGCTGTGGATGGAAAGGAGTGGAGTTACTTTTGCAGAAATGTAATGGTCACTCTTCAAAACAGAATAGGTCTGTGTTGTCATTAAGATGAGAAGGGCCCAGATCATTACCTTTGGTTCATGCAAACTTGTTTCCACCTATATTGGTCATGCATCTGAAATATTTATTTTTTAATTTGAAGAAAATAGGCATGGCTTTATCTACTTTACAGCTTCCTTCTTTAAAGAAATTTGAGAAACTTAATTTCTGTTGTTAGAAAGAAACTTTGTATTACTGAACTTTTATTCTGATTCACTCATTTAACAAATAAATATTAAAACTGCTTGGTTCAAAGGACTGTAATAGATGCTGCCAGTAATACCTCTTTTCCATTTTGTAGCTCCTTTTAGAACCTATCTAATCCTTCCTAGAGAATAAGGCAGTCATCTTAAGTGCATATGAGTGACAAAGTGATGAGAGAAGCTACAATTCTCCCTTCTCGAGTTCACATGTCTGAAATCTGGTTCTTCCACTGACTCAGTTTGTGCCCCTGGATAAGTTCTCTAACTTTTCTAGGCCTCGGTTTCCTGGTCTGTTAGATGGGGACAAGGGTGATGGGAGATAAATGTTGCCTTATAACTTCAGTGAAAATTTAATAAGCTCATATACCTAACACCCCTGGCATATTGTGTTTGGTGTTTTTAACTTTCACTTGCAGTTTGAGACAGCGAGTGGACGTGCCAATGCCATGTCACACACCGCCTGTGCATTCGCTCGTACCCATACAGAACTCTTTCTCGTATTTTCACTTCCAGAGCCCCCAATTTTGTGAGAGACCCTGAAGCATTGTGACAATTTGGTTTTATGTGTCTGCGTGCTCATATCAAGACTAAGGTAACATATTAAAATTTCTAAAGCTATATTAAGTGTATGTGATTAAATTGGCTTATTATGCAGTTATATTAGTTGCTATCAAAAGTATACCTAAAATTTTATTACACTTCAACCGAAACTTTCTGTAAGCAGAAATATTTAATTTCATTTAATTGAAAATGAAAACATCTGAAACTTAAGTATTTACAGCATAGGTCTTTATTAAGATCATGGAGTTTTTTCTTTCTGGTTTTTTTTTTTTTTTTATTTTGCCCCTTTGGGATTTATTTCTTAAGTTTTTTAGCTTAGATTGTTTCTTTTAGTTCATACACTGAATTTGGTATAAGTTTTTCCTCCTTAAGAACATTATAATTGGAAAATATTTTATTTATTTTTGTCACTTAGGTAAAGAATCTTGAACTCAGTTAATTGCTGAATATTTTATCTTAAATGACAAAATTCCATTCCAGTGAACTCAAGAGAGATCTGAATTTCTTTACAAATGTTTGAATACAGTGTTGTCAAATGTTACATCAAATTTATAAATTTTTAGACAAAAATGTATGACCCTTTTGGTTTAACTTTTTGGATTTTGATTGCAGGAATGTTTGCCCTGATAGGATTTGGACTATACATTTAAGTTGTAACTTTGAAAGAATTTTGTTGCTGAGAATTTCTGATCTCATATATTTTGTGTCGTTAGGTAAATTGAATTGACCTGCAAAAATGTCAATGCCTTTAAAGTTCTATTAGTAATTTAGTTACACTATTAAGTGGAATTAACTACACCAGTATAAGAGCATTTTAGATCAGACTATTTTAATTTCTTTGATTTATACAGTGCAACTAACTTTGAAGGTGCTAGAGATATCTGCACTAATATCAGTTCTCCAAATATTCTTAACTATTCTATTTGTTGGTATGCTGGGTGAAATGTGTATTAATTGATACTATTCTAATGAAGAGTTACACTTTGTAATTCTATAAAAATATTTGCATTACTATTTTATAAAAAAAAAGAATGAAAATTTTTGTTGTACATTTTCTCTGCTCTTTCCAAGATTTAAAAGTAAACGTAGCTAGCTTAACTTAATTTCCTAAATTTTGAGGTTCCCTCATGAAAGAAAACATGGCAGAAGGCCAGTGTGTAAACCTCACCACATCCTTTTTTTTCAGATGTGTCATATATATCCAATTTCAATATGAGTGAATTCATGCTTGACATGAGATAAAACTTAGTTACCCTTACTTATAATGACAGGCAGAAGCCAACTGAAAGGAAATGGTTAATTATTTAAATAGAATAAACAGTATTTTCATTCCTGGAATGTAGATTAAAAAGAATATGAAAACAAAAAAAATGTTGCTGAAAACCCAATTTGTAAAAGAATACCATCGGATAGAAAGATGTGTCCACTGTTTGCTCTTTTGTTTCTATAGTATATTGGTATGAATTAGAATAAAGGTATTTACCTCTTTTAAATTTTCTTTCAAATATCAAACAATGGTAGAGAAGTAGTCTTAACATTTCTATTCTGAAGGATGAAAATGAGGTGAGGTTGAAATATGCTCATGAAGAAAATGAAATCAGGGAAAGATTGAGGCTGACAATATGACTACTCTGGAAAGGGGTAAAAAATGAGAGTATATGAAATATAAATCTATTATTTATGGAGTCCCAGATCTTTTTTTGTGTGAAAGACACCAGTGTCTACCAAAAGGGTTAAAGAAAATGCATTCTGTTGCATCTGCTTACTAAATCCCTTACTTTAGTAGAAATTCAAATTTTGTAAAGATTATTCGTTTTATTGATGCATATAATTATAATCACAAGCCATCTGCTGGTTTGGCAGGCATGGTTAAAATTCTCTAACTCTCATAACCTTTCAAGTACAGTGCCCTTGGGACTCTATTTCACTTTTATATTTTGGAAAACATGTAGGGACAAATAAGGGCGGTCATCTGCAGAATGTCAGACCTGGGAAATGAAAGAATGGGGATAGAAGTGGATGCTGTGGCTATTTTAACGGTAGAGGAAGTTATTTTCTGTTTTCTTTTTTTGCTTCTGACTTCATGAAGGATTATCCTAGTTTCTATGATGTATTTGGGCATTTTTTTCCTAGGGATTATAGCTCTGTCATTTCATTCCTGAAAGGCAGGTTCCAATTCTAAACAAAATGAGCAAACAAGAAAACTCTTCCAGATATTGCTTACATTAGTTTTCACAGGTACATGAGGTATATATTTCACTTAGACTTTCGGAACTAATAGAATATCCTACTGGTATTTATTTTTCTGAAATATTCACATTCAATCAAAGACCCTTCCAACCTTAGGCTTCAAATTGTAGAACAGCTTGCAAGTTTTGATACAGACCTTTTGGTTTAAAGGTCACATTTCCAAGCATTTTTATTTTGGTATGAAATCACATACTGACCAGGTTTCTCATGGCAGGTCTCATCAGCCTCATCATGGCCCTTCTTTGCTACTGTAAACATTTGAAGTTTGGTGAAGTTCCTTACCCGATGCCCTACTTCCTTGGGAATGTTTCTTCCATAATCAAATCTCATCAACTGGAGGATGCAAGGGTCGGGTTCTGCATATTAGGGTTAATACACAGGTCATTATCACAGGGACTGCAAGTAAGCTGAGAGGAATTGAAGAATCAATAGGATCCAGGGCTACTTGACTTTATCAAATAATGGAAACATGCACGTACACAGCTCTCTCTTTCTCTCTCTCTCTCTCTCTCTCTTTCATACCCACTCCCCATCACTCTGTGGAAAATCATTGACTGAAGAAATATGTCTTAGGTTTGGCAAATGAGAAAAAGAACTTGTGGTGCCAACACTGTACATGTAATTTGTTCATAACAATGATGATATATGTGACGATAATTATAATGATCCTTAATATTTGTGAAGTGCTTACACTGTGCCAGGCATGGTGTCAAGTTCTTTACATGCATTATATAATTTAGCACTCATAATAATTCCATTTGTATCCCATTTTTACAAAGGAAGCAACTGACTAGAGATGTGAAGATGCACTTGAACCCAGATTGAAGCAGCGTTGAACTCAGATTGAGCCCAAATCTGACTGTCCCCCAAACCCCTTTCCCTTAATTTCTCCTTAGGATATGGTGTCTCTGGGAACAGAACAGAGAGGAAAAACCAGTGTCAGCGATACAGTGTCAAATGCTGCTGAATCCCAAGTACATCTGTGTTCCAGTCCCAGTTAAATATCGTTAAGTACTTGAATGATCCTGATGAAGTGACTTGACAAGTTGCTTTACCTTCCTTATTAATAACATCTGTCACATTAAGGGTCATGCTAGGGGACCCCTGGAGCCCTTTTCATCCTCCAAATTTTGTAACTCCATGAACTTTTAAAAATTAAAACATCCTATGAATTTGAAAAATAATTCAAAGACTGCAGAAGCACTCATTATACCCCTGGAAGACATGTATATGTAGCACACCAATTAACCTTGCTATGAGAAGTAGCCTGTTCTGAGAATCACAGGAGCTTCAGCTCTGATGCTACACATTGGATGGAAAGTTAAACATTTGGCTAAATAGCCAGAAATGTTAGCTCCGTGAGTATAAACATAGATACACAGAAACATCTGGTGATTGAATTCTTCCTCTGAGTATTTTAGTGTCAAGCAGAAAACATTTTTGTCCAATAATAATAATAATAAAAGTACTGACATAGAGCCAACCACTCTTCTAATAACTTTTTTTTTTAGGCAGAGTCTTGCTTTTGTTGCCCAGGCTGGAGTGCAATGGCATGATCTCAGCTCACTGCACCTCTGCCTCTGGGGTTCAAGCGACTCTCCTGCCTCAGCCTCCTGAGTAGCTGGGATTACAGGTGCCAGCCACCACCCCCAGCTGATATTTGTATTTTTAGTAGAGGTTTCTACTAAACCATGGGGTTTCACTATGTTGGGCATGCTGGTGTTGAACTCCTGACCTCAAGTGATCCACCCACCTCAGCCTCCCAAGGTGCTAGGATTACAGGCATGAGCCACCAAGCCTGGCTACCTAAGTCCTGTATATCTGTTAATTATTTTAATTCTCACAATGTCACCAAAGCAACAGTCTATAAGGTAAGATTGGCTAGCATTCCCTGCTTACTGATGAGAAAACTGCACTATGGAGAGCCATGCAATCTGCCCACGATGCCATGGCTGCTTGGTCAGAGCCTGAATTCAACCTCAGGCACCATAGCCCCCAGAAGAGGTATGCAGCCACACCTCCAAGAGTCTGCCTCTGTGCTTTTACTCTATGGGCTTGTCATTAAGACTGCACTTGAAAGAGGCTCAATTGCTTTAAAAAATATTTGAAAAGATAGATTACAGGTTGCTAATATATTTAGACACACTTTAATATTTATTTTGTATTTTAGATCTTAATTAGGCAGTTACTGTTATAACGCTTGTACAGTTTTCTTAAATTATTATAGATTAATCTGCAAGCATTTCTAGTCTTTTGAAAATGTTATGTGAAAGTACTCTAAGAAGTAAAAAGAGTTAAGTTATTGAGGTTTGACAGAAATCTCTTAGAAGAGAAACTGTATTTAAAATTATTTTATTCTTCTCAGTACCTAGCAGAGAAACTTTAACATATTGAGAAATGTATACATGTTTGTTTATATAAAAGAAAGCATGTAGAAATGAAGAATTTCCCCAGTTTTGTGACCCTAATGGAAAAAAAAAGAAGGAAGAGTTTCAATTACGTTTTCCTCGGTAGATGCCACATCTACAAGAGATTACAATATTTTATTCCAGCTGGATGTGATGTAAAATGATGTTTGTATTTTTCATGTACTAAAGTTTTCAAGACAGTGAAGTAGAAAACATAACTATCAGAGCTAGAAAATAGTGAGCAAGTTATTTAGGTTCTGTGCAATCAGTTGACTAAGAAATATTTACAGGCCTAAAAGTATCAGAAGTATATAGACAATGAATATCCGCTACAACCTCTGCCCCTAAGAACCTCCTGAGCCACAGCAGAGGA